TGTGTGTGTGTGTGTGTGTGTGTGTGTGTGTGTGTGTGGCAGCTCCACCATGAAGGCCGTCTCTGTTCGTTTTCACTTCAAACAGACTCGTTCTCTTTACCCCCCCCCCCCCACCAGTCCCTCATACACTGGCTGCTTTCACACCAAGAGGACAACCTCCGACTGTCCTCTCTCTTTATTTGTCTCTTCTTCCCTCTGTCTTCACCCATGTCACCCTTGCTTCTCTAAACTTCTTCTTTGACACCCTCTCCCCTCTCCTCCCCCCTCCCTCCCTCTCCTCCCCCCTCCTCCCCCCTCCCTGTCTATCAGAGTCAAACTAAGCCCAGAGAAAATCTTGTAGCTACATGCTGATACCCTGCTTCAAAGTAGATGTCATGTATTTGAACACACACACACACACACACACACACACACTCAGACTACCTACAGATTTTTTCATATCACAGGCTCTGTCAGGATTTTTCCATCCCTTGTCATTCTGTGATGCGTTCAAATCCTTTGTTTACTTAGCTGTAGGTTAAACATCAATCAAACTATCATCCGTCCATAAACCCTTGAAAACACACACACAAGCAAAAACAGGCTCAGGTATGCCTACACACACACACACACACACACTGACCTCTGACCTCACTTATTAAACAGATGTAGTGGTTCATACTTGAACCAAGGCGTCCTGCTGCTCTGAGGCTGTGCAGATGTCCCTCACTGTAAGTCTCTGACAGATGAATACGTGTAAATATACTGTGACCAGGAAACCAAGAACTCCCTCACTTCAAGACCTTCAAGACTCCATGCTGCGAGTCATTACATCAAAGACACCAGTAAAGAAGAACTCTTGTCGTGATCTGTCGTAAACTTTCAGCCTTGTTTTGTTGTATTCCAGTTCCACAGTGTGTGGCAGAGTAATGAGCATCACATGTTGATTATCTAAAGTCTTCTGATCAAAGTAAGAAGTGTCGCAGGAACAGACTGTAATGAAGCGCTGACGAGCCGCGGCTTATTAATCATATTCTGCAGACGTGAAGGAAACGTGTTCATTCAGGGAAATACAATATGATACAAAAAAGCTCATAAAACAGTTTCATTCACCAACAAGTAACCACGGTAACCACGATGAGCGGGAAGTGTGAGGTTTGTGATGAACCAACAAGTAAAAACCATGTTGTTCCTCTGATATGAACTAATCTCTGGTAGAGACACACTGACAGCTACTGTTTGTTGTTACTGTCCACGCCCACTTCTGGTTTCTGTGGTTGTTGTGTGGGAAGTGAAAACAGACTCTCTCTCTGTCTCTCTCTCTGTCTCTCTCTCTCTCTCTCCCTCTCTCTCTCTCTGTCTCTGTCTCTCTCTCTCTCTGTCTCTGTCTCTGTCTCTGTCTCTCTGTCTCTCTCCCTCTCTCTCTCTCTCTGTCTCTGTCTCTGTCTCTCTGTCTCTCTCCCTCTCTCTCTCTCCCTCTCTCTCTCTCTCTCTCTGTCTCTGTCTCTGTCTCTCTGTCTCTCTCCCTCTCTCTCTCTCCCTCTCTCTCTCTCTGTCTCTCTCTGTCTCTGTCTCTCCCTCTCTCTCTCTCTCTGTCTCTCTCTCTCTGTCTCTGTCTCTCTCTCTCTCTCTCTCTCTCTGTCGCTCACTCTCCTGTTTATGTCAAGGTTCAGGAATTTAAAGGAAATAGCTACGGCCACTGGCCAGAGTGTCTGCTCACCACACACACACACACACACACACACACACACAGGAATGTGTGGAGAAGCCTCTGCTGTTCTGCTCATGATGTGTGTGAATGGAGAGGAAGAGACAGAGTCCTGTTTTTCACCTGGTGTTATGTCCTTTCACCAAGATGAAGTGTGATGCTTGCAGATGTTTTCCTCTGCTCTGCTTCCTCTGGCTGCTTCAGGTTCCTCCCACAGTCCAGAGACAGACAGGTTCAGGGACCTGTCCACCCTGAGTTTCCCACAGCTCTTAGTGAGAATACACTAACGTATATATACTTCGTCATAAGTACAGGTAAAACATCTAAATGTACAAACGTTCATTTCATATTGAAACGACTGCAACGGAGTGAGATCAGTGAATCCAAAGGCAGCAGGTAACTGCTGTACCTGGACACTGTGGCTCTACATGTCGCACTCACTGCTGACTGTGTGAACCTCCTTCAGCTTTCCAAACAAACATGGTTTTTACATGAATGGTTTCAGACTCTTTTCTCTGAATCTGACCACGAGTAACCGCAGACGGTCACAGCTCGGAGCGGCCGTTATGTTTCCCCACGTCTCTGCAACAGAGTGCAACGTTAGCTCGACCCGTGGAGCCGCAGCTTATGGGAAATACACCAGGTTTTTTTAATGTGCTGCTACACTGTAATATGGAGGTCTATTAAAGCTGCCAGTCACTGCTGCTGCCAAAAACACACCAGCCCTCAGCTCTCAGCTCAGAGTCTACTACAGACCAGCAAATAAACTCTCTGGCTCTTTTTGTCTTTCAGCATTTGACTTTTTGTTTGTTTTAGTTGTATTTATTGTTGTAGCAGTTACTGGCTCCTCATTGGTTCATTCTGCTCATTTATTTCCTTTTATTGAATTTATTTTTAAACCAAGATCCCAGGTGTTGGTGATGGAGCTCTGATGTGACTGACTGTGTGTGTGTGTGTGTGTGTGTGTGTGTGTGTGTGTGTGTGTGTGTGTGTGTGTGTGTGTGTGTGTGTGTGTGTGTGTGTGTGTGCTTTCGCATGCGCGTGTTTGTGTGTGTGTGTGTGCGTGTGTGTGTGTGCGTGTGTGCGATGTTTTTGATTGCATGGCTGATGCCTGCGCAGTCTACACGATATGTCTGTCTGACTCTGTTCTCATGCAACCACACACACACACACACACACACTCACACACAGCCTGAGCCTCTCCACCATCCTCCAGTTCCTGCGTTTTGAAGTCACTGCTCTGTATCTCTGTGGTGGTCACGGTCTGGTTGTCACCAAAAGTTTCAAACACCTGGCAGAGATTTGCCCCACCTCCCCCACCTCCCCCACCTGCCACAGTCTCATGGTGGAGGTGAGACCTCCTAACACACCCGAGGAGGATTCTGTGTCTGTGTGTGAGATGCTTAAGTACCTGCACGGTGGGATTATACTGATAAATTTGGCTCAGCCCACCTGTCTTGTCATGTCCACAGGTGTGTTTTGGGGGGAACACACACACACACACACACACACACACGCAAGAAAAAAGAAGCGCTCCACATTGAACAACACTGACCCCTGTGTCAGTTTTTCTACAGGTGTCCTGAGCTCATGAGAAGATTTCTGTCTCTGTTTTCACTCCTTCTCTCTTTACCTGGCAGCAACAGGAAGTAGCTTCAAATTTACCAAAACAAAATGCAACTTTTATTCTAAAGCTCCATGTTTCTTCTTCTTCTGTGTTTTATTTGAAGTGTTGATCCATCAGAGGATATAAAAACCATCTCAGTGTAGTTTTACATCTCCTCTCTCAGGCTTCTCTCTGGAGCTCTAGTAACAACAGGTCTGTGAGCCAATCAGAAGAGAGGAGGCTCTGAGCCTCTCTTCTGATTGGCTGACTGTTTTCTGACTGATCCAATAAAAATAAAGCAGATTTCAGGTAAAAACACTCAGAGAAACCAAATCCTGTAAAGGTTTGGATGGTGGGTCCAGGTGGGCGGGGCTTGCTGACTGCTTTGTTGTGACATCACAAAGTTCCAGAAGTCCTGACGGCTGGTTTTAAGGCTCAGTTTCTGAATACAGGCTGTGTGCATTTCTCTGTGGACTGAGGCTTTGATACTTTCACAGTATTAATATAGAAGCTAGACCTGATCTATAATTAAAAGTGATAATAATCAATAATAATAAATAAATAATCAATACAATATGGGGCCTTTAAACACTGTGAAGTTGAACAATCTAAAACATATGAAATGCAGTCACAGATGTTACACCGTCTCTCTCTCCTCTTCGTCCTTCCTCCTCAGGTTGAAGGAGATCGACATGAGCGAATATGACGCCACCACGTACGAGCGCTTCTCCGCCGCCGTGAGGAGACAGGTTCAGTCGCTACGCATCATCCTGGACAGCTTACAGGTCAGCCTCACGCCGCCTGACATCACACCTCGCACTTTACACACGCCTCCTTGTTTTACTGAAGACTCCCTCATCAACACTGTGCCACGAGGCATTTGGGACGTGATCCAACCGCACTGTCGTTTGAGTCCAGGTGTCAGTCAGGAAACAAAAGCCGTGGGGTCATAAGGTCCGTACAGTAGGCCTCATACAACCCTACACGTGATGTTGGGGCAGGAAGGAGGGGGCGCTGTCCCTCAGGAGCGCTGTGATTGGTTGAGTGAATGAAAAGCCGGAGTGTTGAGAGGGGTGGTTAAAAATCCAGGATGTGATATTGTCTCTATTTCAGTATTTTGGTTTCAACTTTCCTCCCTTTGTTCGAGCGTCTGAGGGGAAATGTGCATCCAAGATGGTGTGTGTGTGTGTGTGTGTGTGTGTGTGTGTGTGTGTGTGTGTGTGTGTGTGTGTGTGTGTGTGTGTGTGTGTGTGTGTGTGTGCGTGTGTTTGTGACTAGAGGAAAATCATGCAGCAGTGATTACAGAGCAACCACACTAAGCCTTGCTCTATTATTCTCCTGTCCAGGTGTGGAGCTCTGTTTGTATATGCTGAGTGTGTGTGTGTTTGTGTGTGTGTGTTTGTGTGTTTGTGTTTTCCATCCAGGTGTTTGCAGCCATGCCAGCGCTGCCTTTGAACGTGAACGTTGGTTATTGTTTGTATTTGTCCTCGGGGCTTTTTCCCGCTGTAAAGACGATGGAGATTAAACCAACCACAGCAGGCGTGACGCTGTGAAGTCATGTTATTCTTATCATACCTGAGGAGTGATTTAAGAGACACACACACACACACACACACACACACACACACACACACACCTAACTGTAGCTGGCAAGCTTTCAATAAAGGTTCATTAGTTCCTGCACCACATCAGTGTTTTCATCACTGATTTATTATATAGAAAGAGCTGAGACTGTTCTGAAAACTGTGATATAAAAGACTGGAGTATTATGTTACATGCAAGAACTCTTTAAAAAGTGAATTTAAGAAATAATGTGATGTAAAGTCACGTGACCTGTGTTGTGTCTGAGGGTGGAGTGTGTTACATCTCTCGCTCCGTCCTCAGGGAGCAAACTGAAGACAGGAGAAAGTGATGTTGTTCTTCCTCTCCAGACCCCAGCAGCCCCCCCCCCCCCCCCCCTTTTTTTTTT